TGGGGGGGGGGGGGGAAGGGGGGGAAATGGGGGTAGGGGGGGGGGGGAAAATGGAAACGGCCCAAGAAAAGGGGGCCCAAGGGGAAAAGAAGGGGGCCAAAAAAAAAAAAAAAAAAAAAAAAACTTTTTTGGAAAACAAAAAAATTTTCCAAATTTGTTTTTTTTTTTTTAAACCAATTTTTTTAAAAAATTGTTTAACCAAAATTTTAATTTTCCTAAAAGTTTTTGTTTTTTTAAAAAAAAAAAATTTAACCAAAAAAAAAAAAGTTTAAAGGTTAAAAAGAATTTCCAAAAATTTTCCTTGTTTTTTTTTAAAAAAATAATTTTAAAATTTTTTTTTTTTGTCGGGTTTTTTTAAAAAAAAAAAAAAAAAAAAAAAAAAAAAAAAAAGTTTTTCATTTTTTTTTATTTTATTTTTTATAATTTTTTCAACTTCGTTAAAGCTTTTTTTTTTTTTTTTTATAAAAAATTATTTTTAAAACTAAATAATATCTTATTTTCTTTATCTCTTTTTTTTTTTTTTTTTTTTTTTTCTTCCTTTTTTTTTAAAAGAAAATTGCTTTTAAAAAAAAAATAAAATAATATCTACACTTTTTTAAAAGGTAATTATTAAATTTCAAATGTATTTTATTATCAATTATATTCATAAAGTTTTGTTGTTAGTTTATTATAAATAAATATAATTATAATAAAATACACCAAAAAAAATAAACCAATAATAATCAATAATCATAATAATAAAACAATATAATAATTTATCAATATTAAAAATGTTAATAATAATAATAAATTTAACACACCAGCTTCACTGACAACATTAAATTTCAGTTGGAAATAAAAAGTAATTTTGAAAATCAAATTGGGGAATTTGATGGGGGTTATATATCTTTATTTCCCATATTAAATTACAATTTTAATTTTGTTTTAATTTTGTTTTAATTTTGTTTTATTTTTTATTTTTTATTTCCTAAATACAAATATAAACAAATAAAAACATAACTCACAACACAGTAACAGTATCAAAAACAGTAAATATAATACAAATATGACAAAAAAAAAAAAAAACTACCACCCCCATATTGCATTCTATTTTTAATTTTAACCACATGCACATAAAAAAAAAAAAACAACCACCAGATTAATTTAATATTTAATAAATTTAATATAAATCATTATGGAAAATAGAAAAAACTCTCATTCTTTTAATAAATAACATGTTATCACAAAAAAAAAAAAAAAAAAAAAAAAAAAATATTAATCCTTCAAAGGGGGGGAGGGGTTTTCAAAAAAAAAAAAAAATTATTTTTTTTAAAATTTTTTTAGTTTTTTTTATTTTTTTTCAAGTGATTACTTTTTTATTTTTTTTTTGTATGGAAATTTAAATAAAATTAAATTTACTCACACCAACACAATAAAATAAATTTATAAATATAAATATAAATATAAATATAAATATATTTATTTTATTATTGTGTATTTATTAAATAAATAAAATATAATTTTTTTTCTCCATGGAAAATTTAATGACTAATTTTTTATTTTTTATTTTTTTTTAAAAATAATTTTTTATTTTTTATTTTTTATTTTTTTTTTTTAAATATTCAAGATTTAGAAAAAGAAAATTAAATAAAAAAACATTCAAACACATAATTATAGTTATATAGATACACATTAATATTATAGAAAAATGAAAGCTTTAATTTTAGTAGGTGGATTTGGTACACGTTTAAGACCATTAACATTAAGCAAACCAAAACCAATTGTCGAGTTTGCAAACAAAGCAATGATTTTACATCAAATCGAAGCACTTTGCAAAATTGGTGTCAACGAAGTAGTTTTAGCAGTAAATTATAGACCACAATTAATGTCAGCTTATCTCCAACCATACGAAGAAAAGTTAGGTATTAAAATCTCATATTCCCACGAAACTGTACCATTAGGTACTGCTGGTCCATTAGCATTAGCCAGAGATTTGTTAAATGATGGTGAACCATTCTTTGTTTTAAATTCTGATATTATTTGCGATTTCCCATTCGCTGACCTCTTAGCTTTCCATAAGAATCACGGTGGTGAAGGTACTATTATGGTTACCAAAGTCGAGGAGCCATCAAAATATGGTGTTGTTGTCTATAAAGAAGAAACTGGTGAAATCTTAAAGTTTGTTGAAAAACCACAAGTTTACGTCGGTAATAAAATTAATGCAGGTGTTTATATATTTAATCCATCAATTTTAGATAGAATTCAAGTAAGTTTATAAATTATATAATATACAGTACCATACAGATTTATACATATATACTAATTCATTATTATTATTATTATTATTATTATTATTATTATTATTATTATTATTATTATTATTATTATTATTATTATTATTATTATTATTATTATTATTAGCCAAAACCAACTTCAATTGAAAAAGAAATTTTCCCAGCAATGGCTGCTGATAATCAATTATATTGTATGCAATTAGAAGGTTTTTGGATGGATGTTGGTCAACCAAAAGACTTTTTATCAGGTATGGGTTTATACTTAAATTCATTAAAGAGTAAACAACCAGAACTTTTGTCGACAGGTACAGGTATTATTGGCCCAGTTTTAATCGATCCATCATCAGTTATTGAACCAGGTTGTTTAATTGGACCAAATGTTACTATTGGACCAAATTGTGTCATTCAAGAAGGTGCTCGTTTAATTAACACTACTGTTCTCGAAGGTACTACCATCGGTAAAAATAGTTGGATTAAATCTACAATTATTGGCTGGAATTCTTCAATTGGTAAATGGGTTAGAATGGAAAATACTTCAGTTTTAGGTGAAGATGTCCATGTCTCTGATGAACTTTACATTAATGGAGGTAAAATTTTACCACACAAATCAATTACCTCTTCTATACCTGAACCTGAAATCATTATGTAAAATATTAATAATAATAATAATAACAATAATAATAATAATAATTTTATAATACCTTTTTTTTTTCCAAATTCTCTCCAATCATTTCTCAACTTTTTTTTTTTTTAAAAATTTTTCTTAATATAATCAATATACATCACGCACATGCATCATAAATCATAATCATAAACCATAAATCATAATATATTTAAAAAAAATACTCAATAGATAATTTTTTTTTTAAAAAAAATTAACACTCCGATAATAATAATAACCAACTTCTTTTTTTTTTAAAAAAAAAAACATAAAAAAATTAATATAAAAATATATTTTATAATAATAGAGTTATAGAATTTTACATATAAAAAAACCATTATCAACTTTTTTTTTCTTTCCTTTTTTTCAATAAATTATATTTTATGTGCTTATTCTTTTTTTTTTTGTGTGTATTTATTTGGCTTAAATATGGTAATAATATATTGTAAAAAAAAGTTATAAATAAAATTTAAAATTTAAAATTATAAAAATAATTGGATTAATTTTGTTTTTTAATATTAAAATTTTAATTATAACCATTATATTTTTTACACAATATGCGATTTTAACAATAATACCAAAATTATTAATACATCTAATGGCAAAAAAATATTATTGTTATTTTTTATAATTATCAAATAAATAAATGTGTTAGTTAATCATTTTCTATTTTTAAATTATATACCAAAAAAAGGTAATTTTTTAGTTTGGTTACAAAAAAAAATTATTTAAAGATATTAATTTTTTTTTTAAAAAAAATTGTGTGTTAGTGAATTGATTTGTGTTGGCGAGTATTAATTATTTATATTAAAAAATTCATCTTTTAAACTAACCCCATTATATTTAATACAAAGTAGTATATCTTTTTAAAGTTATTATATGAATCACTATTTGGATGTATTAGATAACCTATAATATGAACAATATAATTTAAAAAAAAAAAAAAGTTGTAGAGGTAATATAAAGAATTAAATAATTTATTTAAAATTTTTATTCTAAATATTTTATTTAAAGTATTTTTATTTTTTATTTTATTATTTTATTATTTTATTATTCATTATTTTATTATTTTATTTTATTTTTTAGTTTATTTTTTATATTTTCTTTTTTTAAAATAAATTAAGATATAAATAAAAAAATGAAATTAAGAATAATTAAAATTTTATTAGTTTTTAAAATATTGTTTGTTGCCATTGGTAATGGAGAAATAATTAAAGAGTATAGAAGTTCATTGTATGGTTTTAAGGATGGTGATATGGATAGAGCAGAAAGAGTTTGTTTTGATCATGGTGGGGGTTTTGAACTATCATATATTGATTCAAACTCAATAAATTCAGAAATATTAATATATACACAGGAGAATTATGAATCATTAAATAAATCTGCTTCGTGTAATGAAAAGGTAGGTTTTACAATTTTTTTATAATTTATCATAGATTTATTAATTTTTTTTTTAATTTTTTTTTAGAAATTACAAAGTAGTTTTATAATGTCAAATAAAAAGAATTCAGATTCGCTAAGATACCAATTGGATTTATATTATAGTGAGGAAATTAATGAAAAATGTTTTTATGTAGAGCCTGTTGATTGTAACCCAATATTTACTATTCAAAACACAGATAAACTCGAATTTTATTATAGTTTGGATATTTATGATTATAAAGATGACCCAACATATTCACCTGTACCAGAGTTTGTAGTTTTCTTTTTGATCTCATTTTTGGTGCTTTTAATAGTTTCAGTATATCAATTATTTAATTTAAAAACTCAAAAATTAGAATCAAGACAAGTTACAATTTTATCATTAGCAATTTTATTTTGGTTTTTATCACTTGCTTCATTAGTATCAATATTTAGAAGTTATTTACATTTACAAGTAATGTCAATGGGATTTTTATTCTTTAATTGTAATATATATTTTATAATTTTTAAAAATTTTATTTTATTTATAATATTAATTTTATTTTTAATAATCAAGTATTTAAAATTGCAGGTAATTCAATTTTTACATGTTTGTTGTTATTATTAAGTCAAGGTTGGACAAAGTCACCAAACTATGGAACTACATGTGGTAAAATAGTTAATGCAGGTCTCATTATTGTTTTAGTTGCACTGGGATGGACTATTCATATAATTAATCATTACAATGACTTTATTACACAATTGTTTAGTAACCCATATCAATCCCCAGTCGGATATGTATTAATAGTAGTTTATTATTTAATAGTTGTATATTTTATTGTTGGAGGTGGTCGTTTTAATACCAGATCTCAAAGACAATTGGATGGAAGTGTGGTTCAAATGGACTCAAGATTACATGGATACACTGTTCAATTAAAGGTTGTTTTTTCAGTATGGATTATCTCGATTCCACTCATTTCATCATTTTCATTGGGGGTTCATAATGATTTCCATAGATTTGTAATAGTTACCCTAGCATCCTACATTATCAATTTAACTTTTATTTTGGTTTTCCTTTACTTTTATCATCCATGTAAACACAATTATGCAGTCCAACCAATTGGCTTTTTTTTAATGAAATGAAAAAGATAGTCATTTCAATAATTGTAATATTGATATAAGTAATAGCCAATCAATAAATCTAGAAACAATTTATAATAGATAATTTAAAACAAAAAAATAAAATATTTATGGTTTAAACTAAAAAAAAAAAATCTTTATTTTTATTTTACAATATTGATTTATCTTCTTTTATTTTTATTATCATTTCTATTTTGTTCTTTCTTGGCTAAAGTGGTTAAAATGATTCTGAATAAATCTACAAAATCTAAGAATAATACGAGGGCGTGATGAATGAAATCTTTGTTGCCATTCTTTTCGATTCTATAAACAATCATTTGAGTATCGTAGATAACAAATAATACTGAACTTGCTAAAACACCTAACATTAAAAGTTGATCTAATGATTCGCTTCTTCCACCAAATAATCTATAGAGTGATAAAATAAAAATACCCAAACCAAGTGAAGAGATTGTCGAGGCAAGGAATAAAAACATTCTGTTATTTCCTTTGTTTAAAAGTGAAAATACTGAAAATGATGTAAAAATACCAGATGTTAATAAAAATGCTGATAATACTATGCTGTAATATTAAAAAAAAATTAGGTTAATAAAAATGTATTTATTATTGTGATTTATTATTTTTTTACATACGATGGATTAACTTGAATATAAAAACTGATCATATCACTTAAAGAGATACCGGTAACAAATGAAATTACACTTAAAATGCCAAATCTTTTGTTGGTTTCATGTTTTGGTGTATAAATGAAAAAGAGAACAGCACCAATATTTACTAGGAAGGTTAAAAAGAAATTTGGTCTATAAATATTGATTGCAGTAAAAACACCAATACTAGCTATAACCAAACACATGGCCAATGTAGAATAAACTTTGCTTAAAACTTGTTTGGTTTCGTTTGATCTAAAAATATATTTAGTATTAGCAAAAAAAGATTTAAAAAAATAATTAATACACCAAGTTTAATACCTACAAATTTTTAAATTGAAATAAAACATTTATTTGCTCGTCGAATGGGAGAGGATTACCTCTAAAATTTCTGTATGCACTAGTGCTCATTGTGTATATTTAATTTATTAATAACAAAAATAAAATAAAAAAAAAAAAAAATGGTTTTAAATAAACTGGGAAAAAAAAATAATTTAAAAAAAAAATTAAAAAAAATAAATAAAAAAATAAAAAAAATAAAAAAAATAAATAAATAAATTAAAAAAAAAAAATAATATTAAAATTTTAAATTATTTTATTTTTATTTATTTAAAGGAAAATATAAAGAATGACGATTTTTTTAATATAATATAATTAATGGATTTGCACAAAGAATTGGAATAAAACTACAGATCTAATCTTTTCTTTTTTTATCATTTGATTCTTTTTGGCTAAATACTGATAACATCAATTTAAACAAGTCAAGGAAATCCAAGAAAAGAACCACAGAGTGGGACAAGACATTTCTATCACCTAAAACTTCTATTTTATAAATTATCAATTGGGTATCGTAAATTATAAATAGAACGTATAATCCCACTAAGATAGTATAGAAAACAGAGAGAAAGATACTACTAGAAAAACCAAATACTAATTTTGCAATTAAAAGGCCAACACCGAAGACACTTACTGTGGATATTAAAGACCCCCAATAAATAATAGTTCTTTTATATGAATGAAATGCAAAGATGGTAAATATTGCAAAAATTCCACAGGTGCAAATAAATGCAGATAAAACAACACTATTGTAAATTAAATTATATAAATAAATAATAAACAAAAAATAAATTTTTTTAAATTAAATAAAATAAATGGTTAGTTTTAGTATTATTATTATTATTTTTTTTTTATATGTAAAAATTTTTTTTTTAAAATGTATTTACCTTGGATTTGTATTAAAATGGAATAAAATTAAATCACTTGTAGTTATACCAAGAACAAATGATACCTTCATTACAGGTATGATTTTTAGGCCATGTGCATCGATAGTGTCTAAAAAATAATGACATGTATAAATTAGGAGTCCAATTTGTATATAAATATTTGGTCTCCAAATAAACATTGTAAAAAGTACACCAAAACATGCTATAGTTATATTAAAAATTAAAGACAGATAAACTCGAACCAAATAAAATTTAGTTTGTTCTGATCTTTATTTTAAAATAAAAATTATTATTAATTTTTATAATTAGATAAAAATAAAAAAAATAAAAAAATATAAAAATATAAATTTACATTTGATTAAAATTAAATATTAGTCTCCATTTTTCGGTTGCAGTTAATTGATTAACAGGTAACGATTGGGGTTTTTGTTCTTCAGTTAATTGGTGTGTTGAGGAGGAAGAGGTTTCTAAAGGGTTTTCCATGGTGTAAAATTATTTATATTTATTTAAAAAAAAAATGGTTTGTTTAAAAATATTTTGTTGATTAAAAAAATTTGTGGAAAAATATATTAAAATTTTTTTTTTTATAAAAAAGATATTTAGAAAAAAAAAGATATTTATTTTAAAAAACTTAATTTTTTTGAAAATAAATTGGTTTTAAGTTTTGGTTTATTTTACAAATTAAAATATTTAGTAACTTTTATTTATTACATTTAAAATAAATATAGGGGTACCATTATGATATTATTACACTATTATAAATTACTATTATTATTATTATTATTATTATTATTATTATTATTATTATTATTATTATTATTATTATTATTATTATTATTATTATTATTATTATTATATTTATATTAAGTTTATTAATTATATTTGAATTTATTAATTATATTCAATTTTATTTTATTATTATTAAATTTATTTTATTATTATTAAATCTATTTTATTGTTATTAAATTTATTATATTATTATTATTTATGATTTAAATTGGCTTTTCGTGATTGGATTTACTTCTCTTTTGATAAACATAACCAGCTATTAAAACAATGGAAATAGCCAAAATAAAAATAACTAAAACTTTGATAGCATGATATTTAAAGAAAGTTTTGACACACTCTACTTTGGTTCTTGGTTTTTTTTGTATTCTTAGATCATCTAAATCTTCCTCTTCTTCCAAGTCATCTAAATCTTCTTTTGCTGTAATTTGGATATTATCAAAATTTATTTTCTTTTGGTTTTGGCCTGCGGTATTAAATGTTAAAGATGTTTGTTTTTTTTCGCCTGTAATATTTTCTAATCTTTTTTCATATTCTAAAATTTGATTGGTATATTGTTGTATTCTATATATATGGGTAAAAAATTAATAATTATTATTTTAAATAGCTATTTGTTTTAAAAATTACCTCGGTCTTATAGTTGAAATTTGACCAGAGTTTTGAGCAGAAAATTCTAATTGTTGCACAATTTCTTCAGCTTCCTCCATATAATCAGATGCTTGATTTGCAAATACTATAAATTGATCATTTGTGATTCCACCTGGATTAGTTTTGTTGAACTCTAATTGCGATAAATTATTTTCAATTGAATTGAAAACTTCTTTTAAATCTTGCTCAAAATGTGTATAAACATGTTCCATGTTGATTATTAATTTATTTATCTATTTATTTGATTTAGTTTATTAAAGTGAACATATATGAGTGGGTATTTATATAGTTTTGTTTTGATTAAATTTATAAATTATTTAAAAATTATATTGTATCTCTTTTAAAACCAAATTTTAAAAAAATAAAAAAAATAAAATTTTTTTTTTAATATTTTAAAAAAAAAAAAAAAAAAAAATTTTATAATAATTTTTTAAAAATTAATTTAAAAAAACGAAAAAAAAGAAATTTCATTCCTTTATTCCAAAGAATATACTGTATTATAATATATATATATATATATATATATATGTATATATATATCTAAATTAAACATAGTTGTGTTTTAAAATCCAAATCTAATATTTTTTTTTTGATGTTAATGAAAAAAAATTAAATTACTTTTTTATTTTTTTTTTTTTTTAAAATTTTTTTAAAATTTTTTTTTTCTTTTTTTTATTTTTTTATTTTATTTATATTAATTAATAACTATTAATAATAATAATAACTATAGTAATAGTAGTAATAATAATAGTAATAGTAATAATAATAATAAAATCATGTTAAAAAATTTAATTTACAATAAACCTTTTATTAATTTTAGTAAAAATATTATAATAAAACCAAATATATCAAATTATTATAATAAATTTTTTTCAACAGTCTCAACAACTTCTGCATTATCAACAGAAACGGATGATTTACAAGAAATAAAAAGATCGAGATTAACCAAATTAATAAAACCAAAAATTAAAAAATTTTGTGAAGATTTTTATTTTAAAAATAATATTCCCGTTGATGATAAGGCAATTGAAACATTAGAAAATACATACTATGTCTCCAAAGATCATTTAAAAAACTATATTGAACATTTGGCAAATAGGTACCATAGAAAATCATATTTATACAAAAAAGATACTTTATTAGAAAATTTAACAAATTACTCAAGTATCAGAGAAAATGCAAATAGATATACAGAAATACCAATGGAAAAGCAAAGGAAGATTGTTAAAGATATTTTATTTTCTTTTTTCAGGTCTGATAATCTGGATTATTTCTATGATTTAAGGTACACCGATTTTTTACAAGATCCAGATGGAAAATTATTATTAGGTTACTATAGCGGGTCAATGGTTAGAATTGCATATGGTGTGTTCCCAGAGAATGAATGGATTCCAAATTTATTCAGAAGAAATATAATTGGTATAGAAGAAGATTATAATTTCAAGGCTGAGCTAGAATGGTATGCCAGAAGAAATAATATTCACACTGCAGAAGATTGGGCTTGTGTTGATGTCCTCGACTTAGAAAAAAAATGTAAACTAGGATTCAAGAATAAAAACAAAACCATAAAATTGATTTTAGATTGTTTCCCCGAATTAAATATCAGGGTATTTTTAATCAAAGGTTTCAATACACCCATTTTCAAGTATTACGACAATGAAAAATTATATCAACAGTATGCAACTTATTTAATCGAAAAGACAGGTTTTACTTATATGGAACAATTTTATTTCATGACAAATGGACAAATATCCAGGCTTAATGGTCAAGCTTTTTTATTACATTCAAAGAAGAGTAGAAAAGAGCTTTTCAAAAGACTTTATCCAAATTTCCAATGGGAAGACAAATATTTCGATTTAACAAAATACTTGGGAATAAAAAACAAAAAAGATAAAGAAAAAAGAGTTGCATATAGAAACAAAATAGAAAAATTAGATGAAATGATTTCAAAATTTAAATTAGATTAATGGATAAAAAAGAAAATTAATAAAATATTTGTTATAAATAATAATAAATAAAATTTTTTATTTTTTTTTTATTTTTTTATTTTTTTAAAAACTATTGTTCTTATGTAACTTTATTCTTTTTATTTTGTCTTTCATTTAGCTCGTCACCTTCTATATCTACAAATTGGCTTGGTGATTGGTCAACATCTTCAGAGTCACTATTATAAATAAAAAAAAAAAAAAAAGTTAGTTTTATAAAAAATAATAAATAAAAGTTTTTAATTATAACATACGTATGTAATTGTTGTTGTAGTCTTTTAGTTCTTTTATTTGGTGATGATGACACCCCATTGGTGGTTGATAATGGATTAATTGGTGAAGTGGGGGGATTAAGTTTTAGTAGTTGTCTAATTTTTTCTCTTTGTTGGTCGGTGTGTTGTGGACACTTTAAAGTTTTTGTGCACATTTTACCTGTATTGTTTGAAATAACGCCACAAAATTTGCTAAATAGTGAGACCATTTTTTCATTGGGTAGTGATTTAATATCTTCTAAAGAGAGTGCATTATTATTACTATTGGTTTTATTTTTTCTTTTTGATGATTTTTTCTTTGATGATGGTTCATAATCATCATCTGAATCTTCTTCATTATCAGAGTTATCGTTAATACTGTTTGAAGTTGAAGATTGCTGTTGCTGATGTTGTTGTTTACTGTTATTAAATAAAAATTCATTTTGTTTTCTTGCTGATCTTATTGTTCTACCGGCGCCCATACACTTTTCTAAATGTGGAGCATATCTTGAGGAAATAACTGGACAGTTACACTTGATACACTCAAATGTATCTGTTTGATTTTTTGATAGTTGCCCAAATATATCTAAACCTGGTTTTCTTATGATCTCTGGTTCTGCTTTAGCTGGATAGTCATCATTATTTAATTTTGAAATCTGTAAATTACGATGAACTTCAAATACAATATCCATTAAAACTTCTTCAAATAGATCTTGATAAATTTCATGAACCATTTCATCCTCAAATGTTTTGTTTTCTATATCTGACAAATTATATTCTTCGCTTCCTAATGATGCTGCATCCTGCATCACAATATCACCATCTTGACTATCTTGCTCTTCCATCTCTTGCTCTTGTTGTTTTTGTAATTGTCTTTCAAGCTTTTCTCTTTCTCTTTGTTCTTTTCTTTCTTTTTGTTTTTGCTTTTTTAAATTTGCTTTTGAGAGTTTGGTGGTCGGTGGTGGTATTGGTGTACTTGGAGTGGCTGTTGTAGTTGGTTCTTGTGATGATTGAGTATTTGGAGTGGTTGTAGTTGCAGAGGTTGGTGAGCCATTAGTTGATGATGAGGCTGATGTTATTGGTGTTGATGAAGTTGATGTTATTGTACTACCGCTTGCTGATTTATCAGATTGCTTCTGTATTTCATTTTTATCAATTTTTTCTAATTTTACTGATTTTTCATTGACTTCAATATTGGTTGGTTTTGTATCGCTTGTATCTTTATCTTGCTTTTCTGATTTATCTGTTGAATTTTTTGATTTTACATCTTTTTTAGTGGATTGTTTTTTTACAGGCGAAACGGTATTTTTCCCAGATCTAGTCGATGGCGTTGCTTTTGCCTGTGGCTTGCTAATTTTTGAAGAGGCTTGTTGTGCTGCTAATTTGGCTTTATTAGTTGATCCTAGGGGTCTACCTCTTCCAACATGCTTTTTAATTGGTACCACTTTTTCGCTACTTGTACTTGTATTATCATCAGTATTGGTGTCATCAGTTTCCATTTCATCTGAATCACTTTCGTCAGAGCTTTCTGAATTTGAATCACTATCATCACTTTCCATTTCACTATCATAACTTTCACTGTCATCAGAGTCATCTGTATCACTTTCTTCAACCTTATTTGATGGCGCTTTTTTAATTGTATTATTTAAAATGGTTGATTTTTTATTTGTTGGTATTGTTGTCCCTGTTGTTGGTTTTTTATTATTTACATTTTTATTTATTGTTGTTGGAGTTGTTAATTCTTTTTTGATTGGCTGTTTAACATTTGATTTTTCTTTATCTTTGCTATCTTTATCTTTACCCTCTTTTTCTTTATTATCTTTATCTTTTATTGTTGATGGTATACTGTTTTGTTTTTTTAATAGTGTTGGGCTTGATCTATCATCTTTGGGTGTAGTATTGGGTGATAAAATTGGTGAAGGTAAGTTTTTAGTTGTACCTGTAGTTGAAGTTGAAGTTGAAGTTGGAATTGGTGTAGTTGTTGTTGATGTTGTCGCTGTTGTTGTGCTAGTTGTTGAAGTCGGTATATATGAACTACTTGATGAAATTTTATTTCTATCTTTTCTATCTCTATCTCTATCTCTTTCTCTAGACCTTGAACGATCTCTGTCTCTGTCTCTTGATCTTGAACGGTCTCTATCCCTTCTTCTTTCTCTATCTCTGTCACGGTCCCTGTCACGGTCTCTATCACGGTCCCTATCACGGTCCCTATCTCTATCACGTTCTCTATCACGTTCTCTTTCTCTTGATCTTGAACGGTCTCTATCCCTATCACGGTCTCTATCTAATAATCTATCTCTATCACGTTCCCTATCTCTGTCACGTTCTCTGTCTAATCCTCGATCTCTATCTCTATCACGTTCCCTGTCTCTATCACGCTCTCTATCCCTATCTAATGCTCTATCACGCTCTCTATCTCTATCCCTATCTCTTTCCCTATAATAACGATCACGCGAACGATCTCTTGAACGGTCTCTTTGTCTATCTCTTGAACGATCTCTTTCTCTATCTCGGTCTCGTCCACCTCTATCTCTTTCTCTATCTCGGTCCATTTGTCTTGAACGATCACGTGAACGATCTCTTGAACGATCTCTTGAACGATCTCTATAGTCGTCCTTTGGTCTTTTATCTTTTGCCGGTTTATCCCCATTTGGTGGTGATTTATTTATATTATCACCACCTATCGATGGTAAATATAGAGAGCTTGATGATAATGAAAGATTTGATGGACTTGTTTGCAAAGTTGGTGTGCTTGTTGTTGATGATGACGACGAAGTCTTTTCTAATTCTTTACTTGATTTTAATGGATTATTACCAGTAGAGGTGGTGTTTGAAACTGAGGAAGATGATGATGTTAATGATGGTGGTAAAGAAGGTATTGGTGGTTGTTGCTTTGATTGTTTTGAGCTATCTTTATATTTATCTTTATCCTTTCTATCTCTTGATCTATCCCTCGATCTTGAACGCTCTCTGTCTCTATCCCTTGATCTATCTCTTGATCTATCACGAGAACGCTCTCTGGATGTTTCTCTTGAACGTTCTTTGATTTTATCACTTTTTTGACGATTTATATCTTTTTCATTATTCATTACACCTTTAGTCGATCTATCTTTTGATGATGACGTTGTAGTTGTAGTTGTAGTATTATTACTATTACTATCTTTTGGTGGTTGTTGCTTTGGGATTGGTATCGATGCTAAAGCTATATCTTTATTTTTAATGCTAGATAGTGTGGATGTTGATGTCGATAATATTGTACTACTTGATTTATTTAATTGTGGTTGCTCATTATTATTCTTACTATTATTAGATGGTGAAGTACTGGCTTGTTCAAATGACATTATTATAATTTAAAAATTATAAAAACAAAAAAAAAAAAAACTATTTTATATAAATTGTTATTTGGTCATGTATTCTATATTTTGTGTTATTTATTTATTAATTTATTTGTGTAATAATAACCAAATATTACTGATAGAGTATTGTTTTGTACCTGCAATGAATAATCAAAGATTCAATCCGAATAAAATCCCTATGTATTATTCAAATTGGAAAATTTAAAATGAAAAAAAATAAAAAATAATAAATTTAAAAAAAAAAAAAAAATTAAAATTTTTTTTTTTTTTTTTTAAATAATAAAATTAATTAAAAATAAAATTTGCAAATATAGAAATATATATTTAATTACAAAAATAGAATCTTATTTTTTACAATTATCTGGATTTTTTTTTATTTATTAGTTTTTTTTTTTTTTTTTTTGATGAATATTATTATTTTTTTTAGATTATTTTATTTTAAAAAAAAAAAAGAATATTATTAAATTTATTATTATTATTAATTTTATTATTTGAGGAAAAAATATGTGACAAAAAATTTGATGAAAAAATGAAATATTTTTATTCAGTAAATTCAAATGGTTCTGGGGTTGAAGGTTCTGGGAGTGAAGAAGAAGTATTGTTTGTATTATTTGATGCTGAAGAGGATGGATGAGTGCCAGATTGTTGACCAACATCAGGTTTTGGTTCTGGTTTTTCTTTAGTGACTAATTCTTCTGGGACATCAGGGGTCAAATCTTTTAACATTACAATACCAATGGCTGGATTCTTTTTAATTGGTTGATAACGTGAATCATCAAATACTACAAATTGTAATTGTTTTGGAACTACTCTAGCAGGATTTTGTTTTCTTTCAGAGACTGGTTCTTTTTCTTTTTCTTCTTTTTCTTTTTGTTCTTTATCTTCCTTTTCTTTTTGTTCTTTCTCTTCTTTTTCTTTTTGCTCTTTCATTTCTTGGTCAATATTCATTGCACTACGACTACTTTGAAGTTTTGTCTTTCTGCTGTAACTGAGAATAACAGTTTCAATATTTTTAGTTTGTGATTGAGTTGATGCTTTGCTTTCTGGTGGATATGAGAAATAGGATGGTTTACAATTTGATTTGAATGAGAATACTGGCATTTCAAGATTTTTATTTAAACCAATAATTGAGGTTGGTGTTAAAGCTAAGCCCATGAAATGAGTCATTGGGAACCAATACCAGAATTGAAGGAAACCTGCAATACCAACAATGGTATTCATATTTTTATGACCTGATGGAGAGTGTAATTGAATATTACAATTACGACCACCTGCATCAATAACACCAAAGGCTAAAACGGCACCAAACTTGCTCATTGAGTCTTCACGTTTATCGGAAATACAGGTATTAAAGAGTTTTCTGGCAGATTCAGCTTCTGGGACTAATTCTTTGCTGGTTTGAATTAAAACCATGGCCATAGAAATCCATGCAGCTTGTTTAACATAACCAACAGTATCAGTTGTTAAAGTTTTAAGAATATCTAAAGCATCTTTTTGACCAGTACCAGCACAAGCGATACCTAAAGCAAAAGCAGCACCATAACGAACATGTGGATTATAAGATTCGGCTAAAAGAGCAATAGTTTTTGGACATTTTTCTGGTTGACGTGATAAAACAAAACCAATACAGGTTACAGCAGCTCTTCTGACAGAGTCATTACCATCTGAAACTGCAACTGAAAGTAACTTTCTAAGAGCATCATTATTGCCAGTACCACAATATGCCATAGCAACAGTGTACATACCACCATATCTAAGTAATGGATCTTTATCACTCATCATTTGTTCAATTAAAACATCAGCTGATTCTTCTTTACCATACATTAAAAATGCTAAACCCATAGCTAATGATCTAATGGTCTTTTCATGTTGAGTTTCATGAGCATAGGCCAACATTTCTTCAATTGCTTTTTGTGAGCCACTACCTAACATAACTAAACCCATTGCTAAACCTGATGCTTCACCTGAAATAGCATCATCATTATATAAAATTGTTTTTAAATCTTCATATAAATCTGTTTAAAAAATAATAATAGAAAAAAACATTAGAACAATTATTAATTATGGTTTTGTTATTATTAAATGAATATTTGATAAATTACCATCTCTACCACTTGCCATAGCAGCTAAACCTAAACCTAATGAAGCACCATGATGTAAAATAGCATTATTGATATGTAATTTTTCTTGTAAGTAGTCAATGATTTCTTCACCGTGTGAAGCATGAATTAAACCTAAAGCGTATAAAGCACCAGATTCACTGTATGGTGTGGCATTTACAGAAGCACCTGGTAAATAAGTTTTAAGGAGAGTTTTGCTTTCTTTAATATGACCCTTATTGATAACACCTAATGATGAAATGGCACTAAATTTGGTCCAATGGGTTGATTTGTAGAGCCATTCAAGATTACTTCTTAAGAAGGAATCTCTAGTTGTACCAGCATGCATTAAAGCATTAGCAAATAATGTACCAGAGTAAAAGATTGCACCTTTGTGGAGTTCGCTGGTAGCTTTCATTGATTGTAAAATGTTCATATCGGTACTACAATTTCTATAAAGGAATTCTAAATTCATACCAATTGAAATATCACCTTGTAAAATTAAATGTAATTTTTCTAAACGCTCTTTTTCTTGTTTATCACCAGTATTACCGGAATCAATATCGATATCCATACTATCTGAACTCTTTGATTCTGTGGATTTTTTGTCAACTTGTGGTAATCTTTCACGTACATTTAATAAAAATTGTTGAGTTGAGTTTTGGAAAAGATCGAAACCAATTTGATAAGCAAGTAATAATGAATCCTGAAAAATAAAAAAATAAAATTTTAATGTTAGTGTTGTTATATTTTATATAAAATATTTGTATTGTTTAAGTATTTAATACTTACTTCATCTTTTTTAATTAATGATAATAAAATGGTAGCAACTTGGATGTGATTATCTAAAAAGATTAAGCATTGAATAACATTAAGATAATCTGGCTTTTCTTGAGCTAAATGAAGATTAACTAAAATACCTAAAACACTGTGACGGAAATGACGATTGCCAACTGATGAGTTACAAATATGAAGACAATATGAAAGCATACTTGGTACATTTCCTGATTCTGAAATACATTTTTCAATAATATCTAATCTTCTAGCTTCAATTGCAATACCTAAAGCTTGTTTATATGATCCCTCTCTAAAAAATTTTAAAAAAAAAAAAAAAAAAAAAAAATTAATATAAAAATTAAATTAAAATTAAATATTGATCAATTTAAATATTTACTTGAAACATCTGTCGAACATTCCCATTACAATTGATTCAAGATGTGAATTAATTGGTTCTTTTTCTGATAAGTTTCTTAATTTAATATATTCATCAATAAATTTATCTATTATTTTTAAGGGGAAAAAAAAAAAAAAAATTAATATAAATTATTTTTTAAAGTTATTTTATAAATTTTATACATACATAAAAGAGTTTCGACATATTCACTTTTAGAAAGTACATTAAATAATGAACCTGATTGTAAAGCAAATTCCATAGAGTTTCTGAAATCACTTAAATTATAATATACTTTTGATAAAACTAATGATGCAAGTTCATGTTTTGGGAATTGTTTATTCTGTGATAATTTTTTGCTGTTTTTAAAAAATAGTTAGTATAAGTTTATTCGATTTATTTATTTGATTTGAATTGTGTGATCCAATAATTTAATGATACAAACATTTTATCAATTGAGTTTGAGGCGATTTCTGCCCAAAATTCATCAACAAGTGTATCTAACTTTTCTAAAGAAAATGATTTTAATTCTGTTTGGTCTTCATCCAATAATGATAAATAGTTTGATACTGAAACTACTGCCATCTTTTTAATATATATAGTATATTTATATGATTTTGAATATGAACAAAAAATAAATAAAAAGTAAATACAACAAACCTGTATGAGAGTATAAATATGATATACAGCAACAAATTTAATTATATCTTATAAAATATAAAAAAACAATAATTGAAAATAAAAAATAAAAGTGGATGTGTTATTATGTACACAAAAATAAATTAATAAAAAAAAAATAAAAAAAAAAATAACTTCACTCTCCCAAAATTAATTTTTTATAAAAATTAAAAAAAAAAAAAATTATAAAAAAATTAAAAAAAAAAAAAAAAAAAAAACAATTTTCTTTTTAATTTTTTTTTATTTTTTTCATTTTAATTTATTATTTTTTTAATTTATTTTTAATTTAAAAAAACATTGAACTTCACAAGTATTTTTTTAAAAGTCCAAATTTTAATATTTTACAATACAACTTTCATAAAATTTAAAGTTATCATTTTATTATAGAGAGAGTGATTCATTCAAAAAACTTTTTCATTTAAAAAAAAATAAAAAAAATTATTTTATAATGTATAAAACTGAGTTTTTATAATTATTTATTTAAAGTTTAGTTTTATTATTATTTTATATAATCATTAAAGTAATAATTATTCATTTTATCCATGTATAAATTTACTATTAGATCTAAAATTACTTTCATCATAATTTTTTTTTTTTCTACTCTTTTTTATATTATAATATATATATTTTTGCTTTTTTTAAAACAATTTATAACCATTTAATTCTAATATTTACTGAATGTTTGAGTACTCTTTTACATATCAATATTCCCCTTTTTCATTTTCTGCAAAACTTGCTGATGTTTGATCATTTTTTTTTTATTTAATTTTAAAATTTTTTTATTTAATTTTAAAATAAAAAAATTTTTTTTTTAAAAATAAATTGTGTGTAAAAAAAAAAAAAAAATTCTATATTTTTTACCACTTTTTAAGTTTTTAGTTTTTTTTATCATTAATTTTAATAATTAAGGGTATTAATTAAACTAATAGTTTAAAAATAATATATAGTAAATAAACAAAATGATATTAAGCGATGAGGTTCGATAGTCAATATTATCATATAAAAATAGAGGTCATAAGTCGAACTAAAAAATTGCAAAAATATTGGGCGTGCATAAATCAACAGTAGCAAAAACATTGGAACTGGTGGACCAAACAGGCACAATCAATGACGTTCTACGTATTGGGAGAAAAAAAAAGTTTGACGAGGGTGTTTATGTTTCAATTTTTTAAATAGTAAATTTAACAATGTAAAATAAAATATAATTTAGTATGAACAAAATTGATATGGTATATATTAAGCAAATCAATTAAAGAAACATAATAATAAAGAGAAAGTTATGAAACCTCGATTATTAGGATAATAGAAGAAAAAGATTTTTTATGAAGTTGTGTATATAAATTTTATTGTGGAACAATGGAAAAATCATATGTTTATGGATGAATTAAAGTTCCAATAATTTGATAATAACCATGGTAGGTCTTCTTGGGCTTTTAAACACTAATGTTTTACTAGAGTCGCTTATCGAGACAAGTGTAGAAAGGGTGGGGTTAATGAAATATTTTGGGAAATTTTCTTATTATAGCCCAATTTATTTGTTCATTTATCAAATGGATTATAATCTAAACTATATCTTGAAATTATACAAAACGATACACAACTAACTTAAGAATACTATGCAGATAAAATAAAGTGTCTGAAAGGGTTCCAATCATTTGTCATGATAACTGTAGTTCGCATACAGCAAAGATAGTGAAACAATATTTAGAAGATAATAATATTCAAGTTGATCCATTACCACCCTACAGTCTAGGTATTAATATAATTGAAAATCTTTGGTCAATTGTTAAAGAAAGGGTATCAAAAAAGATGTTTCATAACCCATCACAAGACCTAATCAGGTATGTCAAGATGCATTTCATTCAATAGAAAAATCAATCATAGATTCATTAAATGAATCACTTCCTGACCGAATCGATACAATATATAAGGCATATGGGGGATACACTAAATATTAATTAATAATCAATTATATCTAATTGTAAAAAAATACAAATAAAATTTTTAAAATTGAAAAAACGAAATAAATATTGTGACAATATTTTTTTTTTTTTATTTTAATTTTTAGCAAATAAACCAATATCTTGTAATATGATTTATTTAAATGGTTCTTATATAAATATTAAATATGACCTATTAGTTCAATAATTATCATTTCCATTATTATTATTATTATTATTATTATTATTATTATTATTATTATTATTATTATTATTATTGCTACATTGAATCTGCAATGGTTTTAAAAATATATTAATGTATTTTGTGTGAAAAAATAAAAAATTTGAAAGGAAATAAAAAAGTTTACAATAAAATTATTTATTTAAAATTGAAAAATCTTGATAAAGTGTTTTATACTGATTACCGCTTTGATTACAATTATTGATGGCTGCAAAGGGCGTTTATACTGCTGGATTATGGCTATGAGGGTGAAAAACGTGGCTCTGGTTTTAAGTTATGGTTAAGTTGAATATCCTGCACTTTGTTGCTAAATTTTTGATCTTAAAAACCCCGACGTTAGATTAGAAACTTTAAACTGAAAACTTATTAATATTGAGGTATAAAGAATTGAAATTAGGCTAAATTAAAGAATGTGTTCGGCAAAATGAAAGTAAATGCACAATTAGGGAAAATCGTGATAATCAAAAAAAAACTATTATTATTTTACAAATTTTAACAATAGATTTTAATTTGATATGAGGCTAAAACAACTATTAAAGTTAACCTATATATTACAATTACAAAATAAAATAATATACTATAGTTGATTTCTAAACAGTTGGTGGGTGTATTTTATATTAAATTATGTAAATAAAAAAAATTTAAAAAAAAGAATTATTTTTTTAATTTTGAAAAAAAAAAAAAAAACTACCATTACTATCTCTGATATATGTTTGTTTGTTTAAAACATGATTATAATGTTGTTTATATTTTAAAATATATATTTATTTAGTTTTTTACATTTTATTATAAAAAATAATGTAATTTTAAATATTATAAAAAAAAAAAAAAAATTATTTTTCTTTGTTTTTTTTTTGACTAATTAAAAAAGCAATAACAAAATATAAATAATTTACTGTATAAATAAAGAAAATTAATCAATGAAAATTTAATAGTTGTTTATATAATATAATGTAATAACTATTTTAATTTTTCTATTTCAAAAATTTATAAAGTTCTTTAATTTTTTTTTAATAATCACGATGTTCCTAAATTGGGGATTTGCTTTTGCGGAAACACTGTTTATTTTATACCACCAACAAAAAATTGTGTGTGGGTAACCACATATAATTTCAAAATTTTTTTTTTTTTAAATTTAAAGTTTTTAATTTAAAGTTTTTTTAAATTTAAAGTTTTTTTTTTAATTTTCGTCGCGAAATTAATTTTTTTTTTTTTTTCTTTATTTTTTTATCTACATACAAATAATTATTTACATTTATCTTTTTATATAATAACAAAAAAAAAAAAAATAATAAAATTAATATATATTCAATAGCTTATTATATTAATTAAATAATTACAACTATCATTAAATAATAACTTGCGAATCACTTTTATTTCATAATCATAATATAATATAAAATGAATTATTTAACAATTTTATATTTATTTTTAGTTGCTATCATCGGTATTTTACTCAGTTTTTATGTAAATAAACTTTCATCCAACAACAATAACAACAACAACAATGATGATATCTCTAGCAACAATAACAATAACAACACCAACCCACAACAAAATACACCAATCCATAATACTGCTCCAATAGAAAGACAACCACAACAACCACAACAACAAGAAGAACAATCTCAACAACAATCACAACCAAAACGCCCAACATCAACTCCAGATTATAAAAAATTAATTCAAAATCTCCACGAATACGAAAAAAAACAACAAGAAGAACAAGAAGAAGTACCAGAAGAAGAACCAGAACAATCACAATCACAGCCACAGTCACAACCAAAACGTGCTGCTTCAACCCCAGATTATAAAAAACTAATTCAAAATCTTCATGAATACGAAAAACAACAACATGAAGAACAAGAAGAAGAATCACAACAACCACAACAATTTCCAGATTCAAGGGGTCAAGCCAACAGTTACCCATCTTTTGATACAGCTAACTCACGTTATACTGCTGCTGTTGATGTTCCACCAGCCACTGAGCCAAAACACCCACAACAATTTCCAGGTTCAAGGGGTCAAGCCAACTGCTACCCATCTTTTGATACAACTCACTCTCGTTACACTGCCGCTGTTGATGTTCCACCAACCACTGAACCACAACAACACCCACCACAATTTCCAGATTCAAGGGGTCAAGCTAATAGTTACCCATCATTTGACACAACCCACTCACGTTATACTGCTGCTGCTGATGTTCCACAAACCTCTCAGCTACAACAACACCCACAACCAACATATTCATCTTCAAGTGCTCGTAACTACCCAACAATAAATAGAGCACATTCTCGTCATAATACCGCTTCCAAATCAACTGCTGTCCCAACATCTACCAGTAACACTCCAATAAAGAAGAGATCATTGGAGCCCGATGATGAAGAATATTTAGGACAAAATATGGGAACCAATAAAAAACATAGATTTGAAGATGAAGAAGAATTAAAAAGGGTCCAAGCAGAAAAAGAAGAAATGGAAAGATTGGAAAGGGAAAAAGAAGAAATGGAAAAATTAAAAAGAGAGCGTGAAGAAAAAGAAAGGTTAGAAAAAATAGAAGAGGAACGTAAAATAAATGAACAATTAGAAAAAGAAAGATTGGAACAGGAACAAAAACAAAAAGAACAAGAAGAACAAGAAAAAAAAGAAGAAGATAACAAATGTTACATTTGTTTTGAAGATATGGAGACCGAGAACATTGCCACCATAGATTGTGGTCACAAATTCTGTATTGAATGCATAGATACATGGTATAAAATAAAAAATACTTGCCCATTCTGTAGAGAAAGATTTAATACCATTAAAGTAAGTTAATTCATATTTAAACTTTATATATAAAAAAATAAATATTAATTTTTTTCATTATTTAATTGTAGAGAGATGGCCATGATACAATCATTGTAGAGAATGTTGAAAATAGAACCCATGAACAACATTTAGATAATCAGGTCTATGATGATTCCGATGGCTCTGATGATGACTCCCGTGTTGAAATCGTTGATCATAGAGAGCTTATTTATCACATTTTATTGCGTCGTCGTTTTTTAGATAATATCCACGACGCAATATTTGACGAATATTTTGATATTGATTAATCATGAAATTGATGGAGATTAAATTAATAATTTACACACTTTATTCGAAGTTTCATTTTAACGAATCGATGAAGAGTTTATTATTAATTAAATCGTTCCTTTCAATTTTCATTTAATGATATCAACTACCGCTATCCACATCATTCGTAAGTTTCTCAAAAGATTTCAAAGTCACATCATTATCAACATGTTAAATAAATATAGCATCATACAGTTCAGCTCTACAGAAAAAGAAAAGAAACGGTCTAAAATACATAATCTTCCAGTTCCAAATATTTGTAAAGAAGCCAAAAAGGTAACTACAATAATAACATTTACATAATTATTATTATATATGAAAATAAAAAAAACTAATATTTGACTTTATTATTTATTTAGCATAATTCCAATTCTTTATTCCTCAATACCAATAAGTTTTCATAGTCTCTAATCTAACGTCGGGTTTTTTACGATCATATACTCAGCAACAAAGTGCACGATATTCAACTTAACCATAGCTAAAAACCAGAGCCACGTTTTTCTTCATAAGTTTATATCTTTTTAATTCACCGCCACCACCGCCACATTTCTTCAAAGTCGTATTCAAACAGTTTAAGCACCCTTTAAAACCATAACATCACATCAACTTTCACACCCAAAGTCATATTTAAGCAGTATAAACACACCTTACAACCATAACACCATTCGCTTTCAAAGTCAAAATCTAGCAGTATTACCACACCATTTTACAACACACACCAACTAAATTAAGTTCAATTTAATGATTATCAATTCAGAGTTAAGTTTTTTATTTTATATATAGTTATAATACAATTATCTTAGATTGTATATTCTCCATTTATAAATAAAATATATTTATTAAATAAAGATTAAAAATATTTTAATTATTTTGTTTATTTTATTATTTATATTTTTTATCTATAACATTATTTCTTATAAAGTAAAAAGAGTTTATGTTTTATTATTTTAATTTTAATTTATTTTTATTCTATTTATGTTAAATATTTTCTTTCTGGTTTTATTGGTTTGAAATATCAGAGTTATTTGTTGTTTTATTTATATTTAATAAAGTTATTTGTAAAGTTTGAATGGTATTTCGATAGATAGTTTTAATGGTGATAATGTGTTTGATAATATTGTTGATGTGGTATGTAAACGGAATATCCTGGTGGTCACAATACAATCTAATATTAAATAAGTTAATGATTTTGGAATTAAGCTTAATTCTAGAGTCTTGATTTAGCTAAAATGGCGGTAGCCTATTACCCACGTTAATAATTTGATTCCAATAAAACCTAAATCTGTGACCCCATAAGATATAACTTGACCATGCGGTTCTAATGCATTGTTTGCTTTAATTCTAATTGTTGTGGCATATCTTTTATGTGGATGATATTTTCAGGTTGATCCATTGACCTGTCAATTACTATTACTAATTATTTTCATTATTTAATCTCTGTTTATATACCGCTTGATCGAGAGTTTGCTCACCATACTTGCATATTCTTATTTATTTATTTTAAAGGTAATTAAATGAAATAATTTAAAAAAAAACTATTTTTAAAAAAAAAATTTCTAATTTTTTTTTTTAATATTTTTTTAATATTTTTTTATTAGCACCAATTTATAATAATTATTATAAAAGTAAGAGTATATATAAACTAGTTTATAAATAACAATACTAATAAATTTAAATTAAATAGTTTATGATTTTAAAAAAACTTTAGAAATTTTAAATAAATACAATAACAGAGGGATAATGAATTTCATACTCAAAGTAATTAACTAATGACTTTAAATCTACATAATTTTTAGAAATGTATCAAACTATTTTAAAATGTAAAATTGAACTCAAGGCATTTTCAATTACAAGGTACAATTGTTATTATTAAATTATATCATATTTGGTTTTTTTTTTTTTTTTCATATATTTTATTTTATTTTTATTTTTTCACTCCACCTTTTTTTTTTTTTTTTTTTTTTTTTTTTTATATTTTTTTAATAATTATATTTATAAAAATAGTTCAAAAAGAATAAATTAATCACAAAATCATATTTTATAACTTTTATTTATTTCTATTTTGGATAATAATAAATTAAAAGAAAAAAAAAAATTAAAAAAAAAATATAATTTATTTTTTTTTTTTAATTTTTTTAATTTTAAAATTTTTTTTCTAAATTAAAAAAATCAAAATTTTTTTTTTTTTTATCTTTTAAGAAATATTTAGGATATAAATAATTACATATATATTAATCATGTCACAAAATAATACTACCACAACTGATACAGATAAATACGATAGACAATTGCGTTTATGGGGGGAAGATGGTCAATCAAAGTTAGAAAAGTCACATATTTTATTATTAAATGGTAATGCAACTGGTTGTGAAACTTTAAAGAATTTAGTATTACCAGGTATAGGAAGCTTTACAATTGTAGATAATAAAAAAGTCGTAGAACAAGATCTTGGTAACAACTTTTTCGTTGAACGTTCAAGTATTGGTAAGCCCCGTGCCTCTGTAGTTTGTGAATTATTACGTGAACTTAATGATCGTGTTAAAGGATCCTCAGTTGAAGAATGTCCAGTCCATTTAATCAATAACAACATTTCATTCTTTAAAGATTTCTCTTTAGTTATTGCCTCACGTTTACCAGAACCAGCTCTTTTAACTTTATCACAATATTTATTCGAAAAAAACATTCCATTGGCTGTTGTCAATTCATATGGTTATATTGGTTATTTAAGAATTTCAACTCCAGAGCACCAAAGTAAGTTTATTAAATAGAAATATATTATATCATCTTTCTATTTTAAAATACTAATTCTAATGATTTTACATTTTAGTTATTGAATCTAAACCAGATGACCCAATCGATGATTTAAGAATTTACAACCCATTCCAACAATTAGTTGATCAAGCTGATGCTCTAGATTTAAAATCATTAGATAGCCAAAAACACTCACATGTACCATACGTCTTACTATTAATCAAATTCTTAAAAGAATGGAGATCAACCCATGACAATAAAATGCCAGAATCAAGAGCTGAGAAAGAGGAATTTAAAAAAATATTTATATCAAAATCTTTAGATTATAGCGATGAAAAAAATTTCATTGAAGGTGTTAATAATTTATTAAAATATGTTCAACCACCAAGAGTAAATATTAATCAACATTTTATTAATAAATTAAAACAAAAAAAAACAAAAAATATTAATTATTATTATTATTATTATTAGATTCCAGGTGATGTTCAAAATCTTTTAAAAGATGCCAAAGCTTCAAATATTACAGAAACTATGGATGATTTCTGGGTATTAGTTTCAGCCTTAAAAGATTTTGTTGAAAAGAATGATAATACACTTCCATTACATGGTAATGTCCCAGATATGACCTCAGATACCGAAAGCTTTATTAAATTGCAAAAAGCGTAAGTAAAAATATATTTTCTTTTATTTTAGTATATTATAATAAATTAATATTTTTTATATTTATAATAATAAATTAGTTACCAAGAAAAATCTCAAGCTGATTTAACACAATTTACAAATCTTGTTGACCAAATTGTTACTAAAACTGGAAGATCATCAATTTCACCAGATTTAATCAAAAAGTTCTGTAAAAATTCACGTTTCTTAAATATCATTAGATACAGAAGCATTTCAGATGAATTTTCACAACCAAAAACAAAAATGATTATTTCAGAATTAGAACAACAAGATAACATTATGATCTTTTATACTTTACTTCGTGGTGTAGATAAATTCTTTAACAACTATCATAGATACCCAGGTTCAAATGATGAAGATTATGAATCAGATATCTCTTTATTAAAGAATGTTATTTCACAATTCTTATCAGAAATTAATATTCCAGTCGATTTAGTTAAAGATGACTATATTAACGAATTGTAGGTTTTAATATTAATATTTATACTATTAATCTTATTGTTTTTACTAATATCATTTTTATTTATTTATTTACAGTGTAAGATTTGGTGGATCAGAACTTCACAACATTGCTTCATTAATGGGTGGTGTCACCTCACAAGAAATTATTAAACTTGTTACTCATCAATATGTACCATTAAATAATACTTTTATTTTCAATGGTATTAATAGTACTACTGCTTCTTTCAACCTTTAAAAACTGCAAAAATAACAAAATAATTAATTTAATTTCGAGTGCCAAAATAAAAAAAATAAAAAAATTTCAAAAATATTAATATTGATTGTTATCATACAAATAATTTTTTTTTTTAACTTTTAATTTTTGAGATGTTCAAATTCGAAAATATAATATTTTTGTTTTCAAACAAATTCGTCTTTTAATACCATTATAATAAAAATCTGGATTTCGGTTAATTTTTCATTTAATACGAAAATTTTTTAAAAAAATTTAGTTTTTAATTTTTTAATTTTTTTTAATTTTTTATTACCATTTTTTCCTATTCTTCAGATACAAATAAAATCAATTATATGTTTTGATTTAAAAAAAAAAGATTAAAAAAGATCAATTGTATGTGTTGATTAAAAAAAACACACAAATTATTTTTTATTTTTTTTTATTTTTTTTTTTTTTAATTTTTTTTTTTTTACAAATTTTTTACACCCACTTTTCATATATTCCATTTATTTATATATTTGCTATTGTTTGTTTAAAATAGATATAACAATACCCAATTTCAATAATAATGAGTCATAATCATGGCGGTGGAACAATGACAAATGGTACAATGGATAGTACCGGAACAAGTATAGGGTTATTAAAGTTTACAACAAAAGTTAGCGATTTATTATTTTCAAGTTGGTCAACGGAATCATTTTGGTCATATACATTAGCAATTGTAATTGTATTTTTAGCAAGTTGTATTTTAGAGTTTTTAAATTTCTTAAAACAAAAAGTTTACCAAACCTATTCAAATAATATAAATGACCCACATCTAAGATTAAGGTAAGATAAAAAATAAAAATAATAGTAATGATAATAGTAATAGTAATATTAATAGTAATAATAATAGTAATAATAATAAAATAATGATAATGATAATAATAATAATAATAATAATAATAATAATATAGATAAAAATAATAATAATAATATAGATAACAATAATAATTGTGAATTTATAAATTAAAATATACATAAATTAACCCTATCTCAATTTTTTATTTAGTAAATGGAAAAATATTTGGAAATATAAAATTTATTTAATGCTATTACATATGATTACACTTGCATTTCATTATATATTAATGCTAATTATAATGAGCTTTAATCTTGGATTGATATTTTCGATATTAATCGGAGCAGGTGTTGGTTATATAGCATTCTTAGAGAATCCACTTGGTTCAAATAATTCTCAATACATTTCAATGTAAGTTTGTTCAAATAAATTTCAATAGTTATAATAGCAATTATATATACTAACCCCCTTTAAAAACAATATATAGGAAGGAAACTAAAACAACCCAACCAAGTAGCCATTGCTCAACATCTCCATCAACAATTATTATAAACTCATTCGATGAAGGCGATGATGAATTATAAATATAAATAAAATATAAATATGAAATTTTAATAATCAATAATAATAATAAAAATATAATAATAATAATTAATAACAATAATTATAGCCATTATACAAAACACACTATAATGGCATCAATAGATAGCACTATAAAAATTATTTCTCCTCAGATCGAGGGTGAATAATGTAATATTACATTAATTAATTTACAAAATTAAAAATACCAATTGTATTAAATAAAATTTAGAATCTTTTTTTTTTTAAATTAATCAAATGTTTATTTTGAGGAGTATTAAACTCTATATTATTATTATCATGATATTTTCGCATCATATAAACACAATCGTGTTAATAATTTGTGGGTGTTGTGTGGGGTTAAAAATAAAAATTTCCAATTTTCATTTCACAACAAATATTGTAGCTTTGAAAAAAAAAATAAAAAATAAAAAAAAATAAAAAAATAAAAAATAAAAATAAAAATAATTATAAATCTTAAATTATTTATTAATTTATATTTCTAAATTTAAAAAAAAATAAATATTTACTATTCAAAAATTATTTATTAAAAAAAAAAAATTTATTTTTTAAAATTTTTGAATTTTTTTGTTTTTTATTTTTTTATTTTTTTATTTTTTTTTTTTAGCAATTGTATATTTACCACACCTCATTAAATTAATTAATAAAAATCTTTTATCTTTAAAAATAAGAGTGTTCATCTCATTTTATTATAATAATAGTATTAATAATAGTAATAAAAATAAAAATATAATAATAATAGTAATAATAATAGCAATATTAATAATAAATAGAATATTTTTGATATAGCCATATACCGGTGTGTTACTAAAAAAAATGAGCCAAGTTTTATTTTCAAAAATTAGGTCTTTAGTATCTGCAGATAGACATAGGTTTAAATCAGGGGATCTAGATCTTGATCTATCCTATATTACTGATAATATTTTAGGTATGTATTTTTAAATGAAAAATAACCTTGTTGTAAATTTCTTTTTTTGTTTTTTTCGGAAAAAATCGATTTCTTTTTTTTTTTTTTTTTT